TAATAAACTCTAGTCTATTGTACCTACCTTATCTACAGTAATAAACTCTAGTCTATTGTACCGTATCTACAGTAATAAACTCTAGTCTATTGTACCTACCGTATCTACAGTAATAAACTCTAGTCTATTGTACCTACCTTATCTACAGTAATAAACTCTAGTCTATTGTACCTTATCTACAGTAATAAACTCTAGTCTATTGTACCTTATCTACAGTAATAAACTCTAGTCTATTGTGCCTACCTTATCTACAGTAATAAACTCTAGTCTATTGTACCTACCGTATCTGCAGTAATAAACTCTAGTCTATTGTACCTACCGTATCTGCAGTAATAAACTCTAGTCTATTGTACCGTATCTACAGTAATAAACTCTAGTCTATTGTACCTACCGTATCTGCAGTAATAAACTCTAGTCTATTGTACCTACCGTATCTACAGTAATAAACTCTAGTCTATTGTACCTTATCTGCAGTAATAAACTCTAGTCTATTGTACCTTATCTACAGTAATAAACTCTAGTCTATTGTGCCTACCTTATCTACAGTAATAAACTCTAGTCTATTGTACCTACCGTATCTACAGTAATAAACTCTAGTCTATTGTACCTTATCTGCAGTAATAAACTCTAGTCTATTGTACCTACCGTATCTACAGTAATAAACTCTAGTCTATTGTACCTACCGTATCTACAGTAATAAACTCTAGTCTATTGTACCTTATCTACAGTAATAAACTCTAGTCTATTGTGCCTACCGTATCTACAGTAATAAACTCTAGTCTATTGTACCTACCGTATCTACAGTAATAAACTCTAGTCTATTGTACCTTATCTACAGTAATAAACTCTAGTCTATTGTGCCTACCTTATCTACAGTAATAAACTCTAGTCCATTGTACCTTATCTACAGTAATAAACTCTAGTCTATTGTACCGTATCTACAGTAATAAACTCTAGTCTATTGTACCTTATCTGCAGTAATAAACTCTAGTCTATTGTACCTTATCTACAGTAATAAACTCTAGTCTATTGTACCGTATCTACAGTAATAAACTCTAGTCTATTGTACCTTATCTGCAGTAATAAACTCTAGTCTATTGTACCTTATCTACAGTAATAAACTCTAGTCTATTGTACTTACCGTATCTACAGTAATAAACTCTAGTCTATTGTACCTTATCTACAGTAATAAACTCTAGTCTATTGTACCTTATCTACAGTAATAAACTCTAGTCTATTGTACCTACCGTATCTACAGTAATAAACTCTAGTCTATTGTACCGTATCTACAGTAATAAACTCTAGTCTATTGTACTTACCGTATCTACAGTAATAAACTGTTCTTTATTAATCAGTGGTAGATTCTCATCCATATTAATAGCTACATCTTCTGATTTGGTAGAAATTTGAGTTTGATTGTTAGCTTGTTGTGCCACCTGCATCAATTTATTGGCTGCGTTTCCTGAAATAAACGGTTTTACATTCAAATACCTGATACAACTTTCCTTTAAAAAATACTTACTCACTTATAATTGATATACTTCCTTATGTGAAAAGTTCATTAGCTGCTACCAATGTTTTGCCATACTGTTGTTTTGCAGTTCGGATTGCGTTTTGCAGTTCGGGTCGTTAATACCTGGTTTATTTATTTCATACAATGTAATATCTTTGAGCAGCCATTTCTAATTTCTATTTCAGTATATAGAAAGGCTGGGCATCTGAAATCTGAAAGTTTGGGACTGAAATAATTGATTGACACCATTGTACTGACGTTTGCTTCCTACAATAGTGTTTAGTCCCTTAAAAAATATTTGGCCCCCCTTCTCTGAAAAATTCAGGAGACCTGAATGACATGTTGAGACACATAGTTGAGCCCCCTTGTAAAATTTTGCCCCCCCTGAGACCCTGGCCTGTATCCACTTACCTGGGAATAGCCTTGTCAAAGCTGCTTTTGCCTTCTTAGTTGTAGGGATGAACATAAATTTATGAATGGAACTGATAACGTGTGTTCCTACCAGTACATAACGACCGAAACTACGACAATCCACACAACGTATTGTGATAGGGGGACAGTAATGTTCATTCTCCGGTAGTTCCTGCAATTAAACCAAGATGATAAAAATAACTATATTTTTAAGGATAATAACTCAGGTTCACAGTTAAGGATCCTTTCTACCAGCTGGTCCTTGGTCAAACCTCTTGGAATTGATCTTTTTCTGACTATCCATACCCATTTACCTCTGGGTCGACTGGAATTATGAGTGAATATGCCTTATTCAAGGTCATCAGAGTTTGCATGTTGATTGAGATCGGAACCCATAGCCACTATTTGTTTGACGTAACCAGTCAAATGACGTCATGTAAAGAACCAATGCTCTCACCAACTGAGCTATACAACCTTACAATCAGTAATCAGTGAACTTCAATTTCTATTTTTAAAACCAATAAATATTCCAAAATGAAATATATGATAAAAATATGAAGAATGAATGAACATTTTTGAAACAACATCTTTATATTAACTAATACCCTGACAACAATTCTGTTCCGTTTTTTTTTTTTATCAATCTCATCATTTGTGGTTGTCATTTAAATTTGTGCCCCCCAAAAATCAAATTCTTTATTTCTTTGTGTAAAATTGAAAAAACCCAAAAATATGCAAAAAGTTTTGGTTAGTGTAATCCTTTGTTTTGCAGCAAAAAGGCTGCATCACTTACCACATCAAAAAATTTAACAGGGATACTGAAGTTTGGATTTTTCTTACAGTTAAGAATAACGGCTGACTGTAGGACATGTCCGGCACATTCGATATCAATTCTAGGATGGTCCACGCTCTGTAACTGGACTCTTTTTAAATCACGAACTCCCCAAAACAAAACCTGGAAACAAAGAGAAAACACTAGATTATTATCATTCCTGATTTCATTATTTTAAATATTTGAGCTAAACTAAATTTACCAGAAACATATATAGTTGTAACTTTATAACCCTGGCCAAGGCCTGTAGCTAGCCCAGATTCTCAGGCGAGACCAAAAGAGGGCTCAACTATGCCACTCAACAAGTCAACAAGTCATCAAGGGGTCATTTTAAATCACAAACTGCAATGCTATACAGCTTAAATTGAATTCATACACCCTCAATCTAATCTATCTGACAATATTAATTTCCATATTGAGACTAAGAAATATCAGCAGACAAGAAATTCATTGTAATATTCAGAATTTGAGAAATAAGCAACACTAGGCTTTGAAAGCTGCAAGTTGTATACTCCCTCCTTTATGATTGTAAAATTTCCTCATCTACCGGTATTTGCTGCTACCAATGTATTGCATATTTTGGATTTTGGGTTTGGCAATTTGATTTTTTTATCGTTTTCGCAGTAATTACTTGTTTTTTTTTTTAGTCTTTTTATTCAAATTTTACCTCAATTCTATGGGTACTGAGTATGGGTCGTATTCCTTTTGGTACTGGCATGATAGGTCCTCTATCTTTCTCTAAATCAGGGAGTTCCATTGGGGGCAGATCTGATCCAGCACGGTCACCAAACGGTGCAAGCTGAAAAAGATTCCAAAAACAGATTTTATTATTTGTATTCAAGCCATTTTTGTTAAGATTTAAACAACAAATCTCATTTTTGAGAGAAGGGGTAGAAAATAACATTCCACAACTCTATGATATACCTACTCCTCTAATTAGGGAGTAAAATGGGTTGAGAAAAGGGGGTGGGGTGGGGTTCTCCTTAATCTCCTATTTATGTTAAAGCATTGAATATATTCGTGAGAATTTGTGAAGACATGGAAGGCATTCAGAATGGGTCGTGAAAAGAGGGGCATTTTGACAAGGCATCTGCGTGAGGCATGATCGTTCTGTGATTCTTCAAAGTTCGTGACAGCGGAGGCTATAGATCTATGGTTCTTATTTTTTTACAAAATTTAGTTAATTCAGAAATATTGCAATATTGTCAAAATATGTAAACAAATTCCAAAAACACAGTGAAGCAGTGGAAACAAAAATAAGCCATATCATTTCAATTCTAAATAATAAATAGTCAAAATTCATAATTCACAATCTAAAACTGAAAAACAAGTGAAAAGTGTTAAAAATAGTGTCTTGTCACTAGTGGCCCCACCCCTTCCCAACATCTAACAACTAATTCAGAAATCAGGGGCCTTATTTTACAAAACTTAACTTGATTGGTCAATCACTAAAATTGATTTTAAATTCAGTTTTATTATCCAATCAGATTACTGTATTTCTTAAAATGTGGATTTAAGTTAAGTTTTGTAGAATAAGGCCCCTGATTGGTTTAAGAAAGAGTGGACCAATCAGAGTGGACCAATAAGAGTTGACCAATTAGAGTTCTTATTACATTAAGTTACGATTGTTGTTTAAGATAGAATAAAATCTAAATATATTTTGATTAAATGTGGGAAACACGTTGGCTGATTTTTGGGAAATATAAGTGATTTATCGTTGCATCATTTAGCATGCAGGAATTTTGTTAAAAAATTTTTTTACAACAGGTAAATCTACTGATGTACATATTCAAATGAGTCTCAGAATTTGACTTTTAGGTTCATTCTATGTAAAAGTTAGTAGGCCTTTGAAAACTACTCAGAAGACCCCTCCCTTAATCAGCCAACGTCTAAAATCTAAAACAACATTGAAAATATCTTTAAAAAAGAGATGCATTGTGAAAACCACAAAGACTGAGTGAAAATAAATCATAAACTTCTTTCAGCAATGAGCCCAGAAAACTGAATCAAAGTTCTGAATTTAAAAACTGAATTAATGGATAAAATTTTGTGTTCTTAAGAAAAATACAGTAAAGGAGCATTTTCAAAAAGTTCTATGAGTTGATTATGTGATTTCCAGCTATAAAAAAAATAGTAAAAAACCAAAAAACAGACAAATTATCTTATTCATCAAAATGCCGAGCTGTCCATTATAAATTTTTAAGCTGTTTTGTTGAATATTTAAAAATATCAAATATAAAAATGATTTTCAAATATTTCCGTACAAAATTTTAAAATGCACTTAGCCTCTGAATGTTTTGGAATGAATAGATCAAATTTTTTGAAATATTTAATTAAATGTCCCCAATGTGTCCACAAGGAAAAATTGGAATACATGGAAGAGAATTTGCCTGGAATTTGAATTTTGAAGTCACCAGATGAAAAAGCTCCTTGGTTTAAAAGAATTCAACTCCCTTTACCAATTTTAATTTATTTTTGCGAGCGTAGGGTGGTGTAAGGTAGGCGCTGCGAAGATCTCGTTCATCAAAGGGCAACTAGAGATAGAAGGAGAAGAAATCGGGATTAATTTCCAGAAATAAATTATCTTAAAATAAAAGACTTACAAGACGGTAACTGTTAAAAATACAAGGGGAACAACGACTTGGGGGAGAACATCAAATTCTTAATATCACTTCTCTGATAAAATGGTTTCTTATTTCTACTCAAAAGCGTAATCAAAACGTTCTTAAAGAGATTGTAAAGAGGTTTACTTAATTTTGTATGTGTATTGGGGACATTGATAGCATCAATTTACACCATTCCAATTTTCAATCGGATGTCTGTGGTTCGTTTAATTCCAGAAATGCTTAACTGTATATTATGATGTCACTATTGCAAAAGCTGCTTCTAATTTCTAAGAGCCTTAGCAATAGTGACATCATCTAACACATAGTTTTAGAGTAATCGCAGGAACCACAGACATCTGATTGAAAATTGGAATGGTGTATATGGATGCTATCAGTGTCCCTGATATACACATAAAAAGTTTAGAAATCCTTGCAACAAATTCTTAATGATTGAATCAGATGAGTTAAACTAAGCTAACAAGATATAATGTTAACATTCTGTTAACCGGATTGTTTGCGATACTGGGTTTAAGCCATTTTTATCAGAATGATACAAAAGTTTTGTCCAAATAATCATTCATTTGTTTCAACGCTCCATCTTCTTGTTATTATTTTACAACAGAAATTTGTTAGAGCAACAAACATTGAATACTTTTGGACAAAACTTTGTGATAGAATTTTTTTTGGAATCATGCAAAGCAAGCTGGGTAGGGCAGAGTATATTTACCAGGACTAGAGAAATAGATTCTTATTTTTTGAAAATGGCAAATGCAGTTGGCTACATGCCAATAGATAGCATCTGTTTAAATATGTTTTTTTTTGTAAATTTTGATGGTTTAAATGGTAATAGAATACCAAATAATCAAATCTATTTCTCCAGAACTGGATAAGCAAGCTTTATATAGAGGGGGAATGAAGATTGGATTGGATATATAACTATACATAAATCTGTCACATAGACTTAAACACTGTTTACTTTTTAACTTTCAGACAAGTCCTTTAATATCAGACTGGAGTCCTAAATCTTAAAATCTACAGCCTTCATTAATTAACGTAAACATTTCTTTGGAAGATCTTATTTACTCATGTTTCATTAGACTTATAACATCCAAGCCTTCAATTTTAAATTGTTCAGCCTTACGTTTACATCAAGATCTCAATAACAAACTCAAGTGGTTATTGACTATAGTCACTTCTCCTTTCAAAATATAAAATACAAAACCACCAAAAAATAACAAGGAAAGAAACTTAAAACATCTGAAACGAATAAAACAGCTAAAATTTGAATACCTGAAGAAGTTCGAAAGCCGCGAGTAATTCTCCCGCCCTATCCATTCCTCGTGTAATATCCCACCATTCTAGACGAGGGGGGAATTTCGGGGGGTCGTATTTCTCCGTACTCTGTTTGACAACAGGTTTGCATAAACATCTTCCAATAAATTCTGATTTTCCCTGAAATTGAGCAAATCAATGGATGAAGACAAAATTTCAATTTACATGTTAAGGAAACAAATTCGTCTTCCAGAATGACAGGTTAGGAAAAGGGAATATGAAAAGGTTCAGATTTTTATGAATTTGGCTAATTTTATGCATCTTTATGTCATATTTATGGTTCAGCAATTGACAGAATAATAACTGTAAAGGTACGAGCAAACGTCGGTCGTTTTCTACCATGTCGATAATCACGAATCTGATTGGATGATGACGGTCTGTCTTGCAGACGATAAAACTATAGAAGACCAAAATCTTTGATCAAGAAAACTCCCAAATTAAGTATTTCACTGAAAATCAAGACAAACTGTTCCATTTCATGAACCCATATTTCCTTTTGTCTAAGACATCATTTCAAATTCATCTTACCACATTGTCCTGATCAAAAACTTCTACAATAATGGTGGGAGGGTTGTCTACAATATCTTCAATTAATCCATAAACATCTACTTCGTTTAATATCAGAAACTCATCCCAGGTCGGACTCAACGTCTCCTCGATCACCTGTGTACATATACTCTGTTCACTGAACGCGATACGAGCGAATGGATCTGACAGACCAGATGCATCTGAACCAATCAACTGTCTCGCTTGATACATGTGGGCTCGTAACTGGAATGTCTGTTTCTCTGTAAAAATAAAACAATAATCAAAAATTAATTGTATTAAATAAATTAATGACTGACTAAAATGCTGAATATTCCAATCTTTTAAGCAAAATTTTGTTGAACTTACTAATAGTAATAAGTTACTATGAAATAAAACAGAGTTCAAAGTTCAAATATTTTATTCCAATTCATGCTTCTCTATAAAGCAATAAGGAGCTGATTCAGATACAGGGTGAACACCTTTCAGAATACCTGATGCCACCCTTCTAGAGGTTGTCAACTCAGTATCTCTTTCAAAAAATTTTTTTTTGATATTTGTCAGTTGCGGAGCCAAAGTGGGGCAGAGGGGGCAGCCGCCCTCCCTCGCAGCCCCAAAAGCAAGTTTATCAGGCAAAAATCTCATAACTAGGTTGGAAATTCAGGCAATACCAGATATTTCGCCCCCCTCGGACGTAAACCTGGCTCCACCACTGATATTTATGTTTGTCAACCTTGCATCGGTTGATGTTTACCTGTAAAGTATATAAATGGTGGGGGAACAGCTTGTGTTTTAGTTGAATGTTTTAACGCTTTAGTTTCCTCGTATCCCATTGGTAGTCCCTTCAAATAGTCTTTTTTATGCTTCAGTAACCCTAACCATATATACAACTGTAGTTTAGCCTGGATTGTCCAGCCTGATTCACCATCAGCTTTCTTACCAGGTAACTAAAACAAAATTAAAAATTTTTATTAAAGAATAATACTTACCTGACTTGTGTTACAAAAATATTAAAACAGAACCTGAAACATGTTGTTACTCAGAGTTTCACAATCTTCACTGAGGTGACTGAGTAACAACATGTTTTGCTGTATAATTGATGTTATGATGTTTATGAGAACTATTTAGGGGGGACAGCCCCCGAAAAATTGATTCTGACAACCGACCCCACAACTTAACACCATACAACATTGCCCCTACAGATATATTACTTGCCCCTTCAGATATATTACTTGCCCCTCCAGATATATTACCCTTCGAACAATCAAGTCAGGCCATGGGCCTGGAACGTGCCCTTTAAGCTTGTCTGAGTTGATGATAACTCACCTTGAGCAATAGGGTAACAACCTTCCCACAATCCTTGCCCTTCTCTTCCTCGACAACCGAATATATAATATCTCTAGCAGACAATCGTTGGTAAGCGATTCGTTTCTTGGAAGCAATCATCCAAATATAAACGTCTGGTAAAGATGGCTGGGGCTGAAATTAAATAACAAAACTATTTCACACTCTAATAACTCAGTCTGTACCAAGTGTGTCGTCTGCTAGGCGCTTAAGTGCCATGGGATTGAATACTCCCCAGGGTAAGAAAAATTCTGAAGAAGACTTCAACTTAATTAACGCTAAAATAAAAATGAAATTGAGCTTACCTCATCTTTAAGTTTACGTAGTTTTGACAGACAGTTATTACCAGATCTCATTTTCTCTTTTAGATTATTCTTCGTTATCGTGGCTTTAACAGTACGAGCCAAGGTAGATAACTGGTCCTGGAAGAGAAGCAACATATAATAGTCCATGAAGTCCACAATAAAACTTGTAGCAAGTTTGTCGTCTGCTAGGTAATAAGTTGCCTTGGGTTCGGATCTTAAACATTCGAAAAATTCTAATGCCACAGTAAGTGTTTCTGACAATCAGCCCAACGTCAGCTTTCAACCAGAAATTTTTTGTAGGGTTGAGAAAAAAAATATTTAAGTTTCATTTAGGGAGTCTAGAAAAATATCAAGTCTTTTACATCCTACTTTTCTGCATTTTTACGATAAAAGAGAGCTTTCAATTATCTTATATTACTAGAATTGACCCCTTGACAATTTTGAGTCTCCTTCTCAGCAATCTTGGAAATGATTCAAAAAAGGTCAACCTTTAATTAATTATTTATCCTTAGTCACTCAAAATAAGATGAAAACTGTCTACCTACCATTTGTCTAACCAGTATCTTGTGACGTTCCCGATCTAGTTTAGTTTTACCAGCTGAGGCTCCACCCCCACTTCCTTTCACCAAGGAAACAAAACGGGAACATCCATGACCTAATTCTTCAAACACTCCCCGTAGTCGTCGCTCTGGAAACGGGATTTCTTGTCGGATCATATCATGAACTTCTTGTAATCCATCATCCTGTGAAAAAGATTGAATTATAGTGAATATCTATTAAACAAACAGACCTTATCTAGTTAGTATCTTCAAATATTGCCCCTTCCCCACCCCCTTTTAATATGGGAAGGGGCAATAAGGGAATCAACGAATCTTGTTCTTGATCAGAATAACACATACTGCCAAGACTCAACGTCCCTAAACCTCACTACATCATCAGATCGATAAGGGCCAATGAGTATTTGTTTTGCAAAACGATAAGGGCCAATGAGTATTTGTTTTGCAGAACAAGGAGGGCCAATGAGTTTTTGTTTTGCAGAACAAGGAGGGCCAATGAGTTTTTGTTTTGCAGAACAAGGACGGCCAATGAGTATTTGTTTTGCAGAACAAGGAGGGCCAATGAGTTTTTGTTTTGCAGAACAAGGAGGGCCAATGAGTTTTTGTTTTGCAGAACAAGGAGGGCCAATGAGTATTTGTTTTGCAGAACAAGGAGGGCCAATGAGTATTTGTTTTGCAGAACAAGGAGGGCCAATGAGTATTTGTTTTGCAGAACAAGGAGGGCCAATGAGTATTTGTTTTGCAGAACAAGGAGGGCCAATGAGTTTTTGTTTTGCAGAACAAGGAGGGCCAATGAGTTTTTGTTTTGCAGAACGAGGAGGGCCAATGAGTATTTGTTTTGCAGAACAAGGAGGGCCAATGAGTATTTGTTTTGCAGAACGAGGAGGGCCAATGAGTATTTGTTTTGCAAAACGATAAGGGCCAATGAGTATATGTTTTGCAGAACGATAAGGGCCAATGAGTATTTGTTTTGCAGAACCAGGAGGGCCAATGAGTATTTGTTTTGCAGAACAAGAAGGGCCAATGAGAATTTGTTTTGCAGAACCAGGAGGGTCAATGAGTATTTGTTTTGCAGAACGAGGAGGGCCAATGAGTTTTTGTTTTGCAGAACAAGGAGGGCCAATGAGTATTTGTTTTGCAGAACCAGGAGGGCCAATGAGTATTTGTTTTGCAGAACAAGGAGGGCCAATGAGTATTTGTTTTGCAGAACAAGGAGGGCCAATGAGTATTTGTTTTGCAGAACAAGAAGGGCCAATGAGTATTTGTTTTGAAAAACAAGGAGGGCCAATGAGTTTTTGTTTTGCAGAACCAGGAGGGCCAATGAGTATTTGTTTTGCAGAACAAGGAGGGCCAATGAGTATTTGTTTTGCAGAAAGAGAAGGGCCAATGAGTATTTGTTTTTTCTTGCAAGATATTATTTTCAATGCAAACATTTGAAAGTTAAACAAAATATGTCCTGATTTGGCTGAAAAAAAACTAACTAGAAAACAACAAAGATATGAAATAAACCTACCAATTTATCGATGATTTTTTCAATGATATTAGAATTATAAAGACGTCTGCGATGATCTTCGAACTGCTCCTTGAGGTAAACGCACGGTTTGTCTGCATAGTACGGCATATGATAGTAAATCTTGTCCTTCGTAACTGGTTTCGTTGCTCCAGTAGTGCTCATCCATTTTGGAATATTGGCACTGAAACTCATTCCTGGTTCCACTGGATCCTCATTCTCAGATCTGGAATCAGCCTCCTCATCACTTTCAGAATCCTTCGAATCCTTTGTAGGACAGTTATACCCGTCTAGTACATTACCAGCATTACCTGGAATAAGAAAGAAACAACTATATTTTACAAAGATAACAATTTAGGTTCACAGTTAAGGATCCTTTCTACCAACTGGTCCTTGGCCAAACCTCTTTTTAATGATTTTACAAGGATAACAACTTAGGTTCACAGTTAAGGATCCTTTGTACCAGCTGGTCCTTGGCCAAACCTCTTGGCATTGATCTTCCCAGATTATCCGTACCCATTTACAGCTTGGCTGACTGGAATTATGAGTGAAGATCACTTATTCAAGGTCATCAGACTATCACATGCCGATCAAGATCGGAACCCACAGCCGTCATTTGTTCGACGTAACCAAGCAAATGACATCATGTAAAGAACCAACATTCTAACCGACTGTGTTATAGAAACTCACAGAGAAAGGTAGTAGAAATAACAAAGATAACTAAAGAATCTCTTGCTAGTGACTATACAAGGATAACAACTAAAGGATCTTGTGTACCAGCTGGCTTTGTAGTCCTTGGCCAAATTCCTCAAGGAACAGTGGATTCTTCGCCAAGTCTCAAATCAATCTTTCCCTGATTCTCTAGATTACTATTTGTGACTGTCGCCATATCGTTAAAGGCCTTAACTTACCAATGCTGATTTCAAAATGGAGTGATTTATCCGACATCTTTTTATCTATCATTGTAGATTCCATCACACAACCAAATAGAAAATATTCTTCAGGTTTACCTGCGGCATTCTACAAACAAAAAAATTGAATGGAGTGATAGTAGAAATGTAAAATGGAATAAACACACTTCTTTAAGAAAATTAAACATGTAATGTTTCAAATAATAAGGACATAAAATATAACAAAATATATAAGAACCTTGTTAATCTCTCATTTATTCTTAGTTATTATATATCTATGTTTTATTCTTTCATTATTTCATCTGATGACTCTTAGCGTAAATTAATGACTGGAACTGGAAACTGGAAGTTAATTTAGTGTAAAAGATTGTAGCCTCACGTGTTTATTGGAAGTAGATATGAGATACGAAAGGATGGCTCAGTCGATGAATAGGAATAGTTGAGTTAGTCTGACCTGACGGCCATCTTGTCATCATCATCCACTCATCTATATGTTTATGTTTGTGATGTCCCCCCCAATGTTTTTATGTATTTTCTTTCATCTTCAATGTCTTCATCAAAATATATATCATCAATCATACAAGACTTTTCAATGACGACACGTGTAAACGTGAAACGTTATGTGCGTAATATTTATCAAAAAAGCTGCATCACTCAGTAAGAAAACCAAAAATCTCATCACAAGCATTTACTGGCATGGAATCCAAGACCTTTAGGTTAGCATGCAGACACTTTACTTGTTGGTCATGTTAAAGGAATTGTAAAGAGATTTTCGAAATTTTTTATATGTATCAGGGATACGCTTCAATTCAAACCATTCTGATTTTGACTATTTAATGAACGATACTTACATCTGCTACAGGTAGAGTTGATTCAACTTCAACAGTGGCTGGCCCTGTATCAGTACTATCCATAATCTCTGTTTTTATTGCTACCTGAATTCGACCGCGATATGATACACCCTCTCCCAGTCCGTCGTTAAGATGTGTATGTTCGTCCATAAACTGGTAATATCTCGTTGATCCATATAAATTAACCCAGCATGGTCCATAGGTTGGTAAAAATCCTGGAATATCCAATCAAAAATAGTTTTGGGGAATTTTGATATGTGGGTGTTACCTACATGTTTACTACTCAAATTGATCTCACAATGGCCATTGGTTGACCTTGTTAATGGAATTGGAAACAAAATAAAAGTGATTCTAAAGAGGTTTTCTAAATTTATTATGTGTTACATTGTTAACATCAATTTGCATCATTCCAATTTTCAATCAGACATCTGTGGTTCCTGCAATTCCACTAAAACTAAGTGTTTCATGACATCACCTATCACAAAATATATTTTGGTGAAGTAAGGCCTTCTCAATTGATCAAACACTTAGTTTTAGTGGAATTACAACAACTACAGACGTCTGACTGAAAATTGGAATGGTCCAAATTGATGCTATCAATGTCCCTGATACACATAAATATTGTAGAAAACCTCTTTACAATCTCTTAATAGAAAATTTCTACCCTTATAAAAGCAGGAAAGTATGAACAACATATTTTATATTAGAAATTTAAAACTCCACGGACTTAAGGTTGAATATAACCCAGTTAATGCAGGCATAAGAGTAAAATTGACATACCTTTCTCTCCTTCGTTAGATATCTGTGATAGGTCTATAAAATGCGTTCCTATAATATGATCATTTACACTGTCCTTGTCTCGGAGCTGAATCCGGAATCGTCGACACAATGGCGGAAACATCTCGGTAAATATAATCTGTTCGTTCCAAATGGGTTCGTACGATCCTTTCTTAACAGATGTTCGACCCTGAAGAGAAAGTGAGAGGTCAAGATTATATTCTTCAAACTGTTACGGCCAATCAGATGGTTTTATTTCCACAAGAATCTGAATTAATCTCAGTCAAACACAACTGTAGCTGTCTATCACTACCTGTGTTTATTATTTAACCCTGCACACTCACCAATCTTCAGTAGGATTGTTTGCTGATGTCAAAATATCTGGTCATGTAGTCATGACTGAGATGTCTATAGCAGCTCTCTCCAGAGCACCTTACCAATTATATAAATGAATTTACCTTTTGTCCAGCAAAACCAACTTCAACATAAGGATCCACTAAATCATTGCTTTCTCCTGTAAAAGCTTTTTTAACATTAGCTACCAGACCAGCGTTCATCTTGGGTAGACCCTCGGCTTTATAGATTTTAACGTAGAATTTGGCTCGTTGTCTGTCAGCAGGTACGCCATCTGGTAATAGTAAGTTACTGAAATTACGGGAAAAAATAATTTTAATGAATTAATATATCAGGATAATGTGTAAAATATATTTCTTAATTACTACTGTAAATAGTTTTAAACTATCAACTATTTCTACTGAAGAAAACGGAGAAAACAATTTTAACAAATTGATTTATCAGGATAATGAATAAAAATATTCTATTGCTACAGTAATGGTTTTTTCAGATTATAGATATCGATACAAAATGTTACAATCCTTCTCCATCAACTTAGCCAGTGCTTTTGATAAATCTTCTTATACAACATGTGATTATAGCTCAAAATGTATTTGAACTTATTGTATACTAGACAGTTTTCAAAGAATTTCTATGATTAGTTTTGTATATCTGGGTATTTATAAAGTCTAGGGATAATTAAACATACTGGCTGTTTGTACCGTCATGATGCGTGTTCTCTATGGCTGCTAACAACAGTATGGATAAGATAAGACACAATAGGCCCACTAGTTTTTGTTTTTTTTAAAGCGTGAAGCCATTTTGATTGTCAAGAATGATATTAAGTGACTTTGTTAGGGTTAGGTAGGGATGGCCATATGTTTTCTTAATTTTAGTGGAATTGCAGCAATCACAGATGTCTGACTGAAAATTAGAATGGTGCACATTGATGCTACCAGTGTTCCCAGATACACATAAATTTTGTAGAAAACCTCTTTACATTCTCTTTAAAGAAAATTTCTGCCATTATAAAAGCAGGTAAGGTAGGGATGGCCATATGTTTTTTAATGCACATTTGTTTCTTAAAAAAAAATCCTCACCCTTCAATATCATCCTCATCTTTGTCTGTTTTCGGTGGAACTTTAACAGAATCACCTTTACCAATCACCGAAATATCACATTTTAAATAACCTTTAACCCCACTGCCAAGGTCATCTGGGTCCGTCAACATCGCCCATTTATGGTAAAATTGATGATCTGAAAATAAGGCCCAAATTTTAAAAATTGTCATAAGAAATAAGCTGTGATATTATTTTGAGAAATTTGTGAATTTTGATGAAAGTTTAGATTTTTAAAGAGATATGGTTTTAAAAGATAATTTTTTCATTTAATTTATACAAAAAAATATTTCAAATTCAAGCTGTTAATTTTTAATTTTAAAAGACAAAATTTGTATCAGTCTAGCTTACTTGTATTAATTGAAAAAAAATTGATATATTTCTTCAAATGAAAAGTTCATTAGCTGATACCAATGTTTGGCCAAACTGTTATTTAGGATTCAAGTTTCATTTGCAATTTTGATTGTTAGTACTTGGGTTTTTTTATTGAATATTGAATTGAACCCATCCAAGAAATTTTCAGAATGCATTTGACTGGAAATTTCCCAATGTAAAAACAAATTTCAATGCAATACCAGTATTGATTTGAAGTTGATATACGAGTTCACATGAATACAATCAGTAAAATTTGATATACCAACTAACTTCATCTTCACAATGTCAAGCTATCACTAACTGCATCTTATACCTTGACAATAGCCACCTATCTTGTATCATGAACGTTTGTAAATACAGTGTTTTGATTGGATTGAACATTAATGAATACCACCAATCAGAGCCCTCAATAGAGAGTTTTATAATGTTAAAACTGTTTTTGCTGAGGGCTCTGATTTGCTGCATAAGCTGGTATACAATCCAATCAAACTGCTACATTCTGTGATACAAGAAAGGTGGCTAATGCTGTCAAGGTATAAGACAAAGTTTGTAATAGATTGACATTGTGAAGATGGGTCAAGGTATAAGACAAAGTTTGTAACAGCTTGACATTGTGAAGATGACCATTTTGAGAAGACAGTAGATTTTGCATAGATTCACATTCTCAATATAGAATTCTAATTATAGAAACTGAGGTGAGTAATCTGAAAAAGTTTCTTAATGTGTTAAAATTTAATTATAATCTAAAAACTTTACTTGAAAAAATAGACATGAAAAATTTCTTAGCGTTGATTAAATAATTGCAATTTCATGAATGGGTAATATCAAAGCTACAGAGTGCACAAAAACATTGTAAAAAAATATCTCACATATAACACTGATGTATAGTTTAATTAAAATTAGATCAAACTTTCCCTCTGTATTTTTATAAGCTTGTATTTTTTATACAGTCACTTAAGTTATGGTCTAACTACAGCTCTATTGAACGTTCGTCTAACCTTCTGACCTAACTCGACTTTCGTCAAATTAACCTTTTGACCTAACTGATGATGTCTGCTTTAACCAATCAAATTTCTACCCTGTCCAACACTGGCATTTTGTGACGCAGTGTTCATCAGTCAGATGTTTCGCACTAGTCCAGCTTAAATCAAATGTTAGTTCAACCTTTTGTGATTTTGGTCTGAGCATGCATCACATTTAACATAAAAAACCTAGAAGAAGTTTACTTGAATATTACAATATATATATATATAACATTTAGACCTAGACTCCTTTTGTCTGCTGTACGCAGGCATATAAACATCTATATGCATGTAGCGACCAATACTTACTACATATGTATGTAATTAATCATGCGTTAAGATATAATCCAGCCAATGACAGTCGGGAAATACCTTTTCTGGGAATACCCTGACGTCATTCTTGCTATTTCAAGATCTGCACAGCATTTGTGAGGGCAAAAAATCACTCAATTGTCTATCAGTCCGTGCTACGTGAAGACTTTTGTTTATACGTAATATAGATTGCCAATAAATGGAATTGTTTTAACTTAAAATAGATTACGGATTCATATTACACTAAAGGAGTCTCAGCCTCACTCAATAAACAATATAATATTACTTCATAATAAAAGAAATATCTACTCATAAAAAATTATGACTAAAACTAAAACAAAAGAAAAATCTACTTTTACAAAAAAATAATACGCCATTTTACTCACAAACTAGGAAGAAAATACAAAATGGATACCTGGTTGAGCGTAAACAGTTGAAACGTCTAACTTATAACTTCCCAAAGCTTTATTAGAGCGTAATAAACGTCCTGATTGACATGCCTGTAGAGAGTTCACATGCAAAAATATTATAGAACCACAACCAGAAATATATAGGTTGATCATCCACACAAGCTCACACCCAGGATGCAAAAATAATCAAGAATATAATGTGCATCTATTGGTGGTTCAAGATTTTTCAAAGATTACCTGTAATTTGTGAAATTTATGACCCAGATATAACATTATGCACATGCATCTTTTAAAATAGAAACATCAAACATTTCAGAATCATAACAAAATGAATTTCAAATTTTCAGGTATCTCCAATATTTTAATTAGTATAAAATATCCTTATGCAACTGAATATTTCAAATTTTGTATTTCAGGTTATTTTTGCACCCAATTCTCCATTCTCACATCACAAAACACTCCGAAATAAAGATAACACCACCCTCTACCTGTTTTTGTTCATTTATCAAAATTTTATTATTTTCAAGAAATTATTTCCAATGATTTTAACTCAACAAATCTGTATTTTTGAAAAATTCTGATTGGTATTGGCATGGTAATGATATTTTCAATGTTTTTGTCGAATCCATTTTGTTTAATTAAAATTCTGATTGGTTTTGAAGCATGATTTTTACTGAATATTGTACATAAATTAAAATCTATATATGTTCTGAATTAGTGAAAGGGAAATACGAAAACTTTTCGAAATTTTTTGAAAAATTAAATATCATTTCTGCTACTGATTAACTTATCAATATTACCAATTAGTAGAAACATCAAAATTTAAAAAAAACAAAGAAAAAATACTCATGCATATAATTTGCCGCAGGAAAGAGAGAAAGAGTCAAAAAGCCAGAAGATATAAACAGTGCCGCCACCAAATATGATTAAAAAGATTTGAAAAAGCCATTCCCAGGGAAAGGATAAAAATAGTAACAAAAAATACCCGCAGCTAAGTATACTGTGGCGACATCTATCTTAAATCTACCGATTTCGGTGCCGGAACGTAAAAAATTACGTGAATGAAGTACCTATGAAATGATGGTGGGATGTGAAAAATCATGAAGTGAAGAAATCATGAAATGGTAGTGCCATGGGAACAAGCTTGGTGTGGTGTTTCTATGCACATACATTGGTCTGGGTGAAATATTTTTTTCATAAATGTGAATCAAAAGGATCAAAATGTTAAACTGCCTAATAATCTTTAAAAGTGACATAACTAAGTCCATTACATCATTTGGGATTCTATGACATCATTTGGGATTCTATGACATCATTTGGGATTCTATGACATCATTTGGGATTCTATGACATCATTTGCTTAGTTACATGGCCTAGAAGGCCCAGATAAGCATTTCTTTTGCGCTTGTGCAGGGTCTGCCATTTGAAGCTTTGAGGACCTTTCTTACACTTTTTTGTTGAGGAGCCAACACTTCTGTTAAAAGTGAGCTATGTTGGGCATAAGTTATCTTTTATCGTTATTCTAGTTGACCCAGTTGAATATGGGTATGGATAATTTGGGAAAGAACATTGTTTGAAGACCTTTAATATTTCTTCATAATTTAAATGGGTACTGAATGATCTAGAGAAGATTGTGATAAATATTGAAAAAGACAACTTAAATAAAAACACTTACCGTCAAAGTTATTATTTTATCAAACAGCATCACAGCTGGTAGGTGAAAATCAAACACAAAATACTAAAATAGATAAAATAAAGTTTAACATTGTAGTTTCCTACTCCTGATTGGATGCAGTGGCCAACGAGGTAAGGTCAAATTTGTCAAGAGAGACACTTCATCTACTCTTAACCAAATTATGAAAATAACAACAGAAACTAAAAGTTTAGTGAACAAACGAGAAAGAGCTTGTTTAAAATAAAATAGTGACCGGAATCTAACATATCAGTTATTATTTGAAGACATTACTTGTACGAGAACCTGACTCAATCATGGCCCTCAAACACTCACGTAAACTCGAGATAAATATAACATACCTCGTTGTAATAGGGACAATTAGTAGATTCCTTGACGCTGGTATATTTTTTATTGTCTCCAACCTGACAGCAGACAACAGGATCCATATTTAAACCAGCCAGCTGTCTCGCTTCTATTATCGTTATACAAACCTACATTACAGATTAAGACTTAATAAATCTAATTCATGCGTCAGCGGCTCATGACAAAAACATAAAAAAAAGTAACGTTTTGTCACTGCATAAAATCGCCACCTTGACGTCTTTAACACCTCCTTCTCCATTCTCATTAGCTCAAACCTTATGAAAATTTTTCACCCTCAATATTGACTTATCAGAAGTGACTCTGGATGCATGCAGGATGTTGATGGAGTATCTAAGGACACTAGACTTCCTTGATGATTGACAGTGAGATTGGCTAGTCTTATTGACAAGTGTATATTTATTGTGGTGTATTAAATTGAAATAATTATACAGTTTATTTAAAAAGCTCAATGTTAAAAATTCTTTTTATTTGACAAACCTGAAAATCTTGTGATTTATTCAGTGAGATTGAATCAAATAAGGGTTTCTGTTTCTTTCTGAAAAATATAAAAAAATTGGTTGTTAACGACGCATCAGAGATAATCTCTTTCTACTGACTTTGTGGAAATATTTCTTGAAGACCTCAGTAAAATCAGAGCTCGGTAGGCACGGCAAAAAAGATTCGTAAAATGGAATCAGGGGCCTTATTCTTTGAAATTCAAATAAGAAAAAATCAAGATTTAAAGAAATACAGCAATTTGATTGGATAATAAAACTGAATTTATAATCAATTTAACTGATTGACCAATCAGATGACTGGAACACTAAAATCATTTTAAGTAAAGTTTTCAAGAAAATAAGGGCCCAGGTCAACTGGCATCTTCACAATGTCAAGTTATTCCAAACTTCTTCTAATACCTTGACTACAATAGCCATTTGATGGGATTATACGCCAATGAATACATCCAATCATAGTCCTTGACCATCCAGACAGTAAACCTTATGTGCAGACTTTATGTTGAGGACTACTCCTGATTAAAAGGACAAGGGGTTGAGGTGATTGGTCATCACCATGGTAACAAGTAATACCTACCGTCTGTTTAAAGGAGAAGGTGTTGAAGTTAGCTGACTGTCGCTCCCCTGATCTTCCTCTATGGCTTTAGCTGCTGTCGCTGCCAACATGGAGGCCACTTCTGCTGCTTTAGCATCCAGGATATTTGAATCTGAAAACAAACATATTTCCATGAATATATCTTGATGCTATGACATTGTTTTTACAGTTTGAAGCTCTGGAATCCATTTCTAAGAATTCAGAAAGAATTCCAATTCAAAGAACATTGACAACTTAGATTTTTGATAAGCAGCATTAGCCTTCTAGTGTTTTATTTCCAACAGACAGGATGAAAATGAAGGATAGTTTAAGTGATGAACCTAGGTTACAAACAATTCATATACAAAATCTTTTAGTTTAATCTTCCTTTAAATCATGAAAAGTCTGAAATTATAATCTCCCTTGTCAGCTTCTTGTCACCAACTTGTGCGCTCTTTAAGATAAAATTATCCCCGGATGATTTTAAAGCAGTGCGTGTTAACTAATATATTGCCTGTTAAGATCGGCCTCAAAGGATGAATTATTTGTCATTTTCTTATAGTTTAAAGGAATTAAGAGGCCATTTTTCTTAAAAGCTTAACACATCATTAATAAAGTTGGAAAAAAGCGGTTTATATGAATGCTTCAAAAATCTTGTGTTTTTAACATACCATATATGTATTGTAACAAAGGATTATGGGGTTATAAACAAAAAGTAACATTTTATCTCTAAAGTTTCAATAATTTCATGTTTACATTCACAACTTCAACTATCCATATTTCCTGTATTTAGACAATGGTAAGTTATACATGCATACATTAATTGTTTTAAATCAGTAGTATTGTAAAGTATCAATTCACAATCGTGCCATGACATATCGTATCGTATTTATTCTGACTGATATATCCTGCTGATACTATAATTAAAGGGACTTAACTCATTTTAGAGAATCAATGTCATAGCCAGTATCCAAAATTTGAAGCCTTACAGTAATATTACCATTCCATACCATAATTAAATTTCAAATGTAAATATTATAATACAGTATTATTATATTAAAATTTTACTTTATTTTAACTCCATTACAGAGAATAATCTGTGATATTAATGTATATTTTGATTTTTGATAATAACCATGAGATACATGTTTCAGTTTTTGAAATATTGGACTATATTGTATATTTGTTTAATCATAAAAAAAGGGAATCTCTCTGTTCTGCTGAAGAAGACCCCCACAGGCCGAAACATTTGGAAATAAATAAACCAAGTACTAACGATCTGAACTGCAAAACATAACCCAAAATCCAAAACAACATATTGGTGAACCATTAGTAGTAGCTAATAAACTTTCCACATGAAGAATATTTATCTTCAAAGAGTTCTGTTTTTTTGGTTTGAGAGAATCTCTCCAGATTCATAATACATAGTGTGGCTTGTCTTGTTGTCATAATTAAAACTTCTTGCTCAATACTTAGATTTCAATTGTTATGAATGATGTTACAGGATGACCAAGGGTAGGAATCAATGGATCAAGTTGTCATGGTTTCTGATTTGAAAAAAGGAACCGCAACCTGTTCCTGACATCAACTTACCCAATTCCTCCGGGTCTATTAATAATTGAGAATCATCAGCTAGAACTTCTTTCTTTATCACTTTTTTAACCACTGAAGTTAATTTCTTGGCTCTGAATAAAAAAGAAAATTAAATTGAAGTATCACAAACTGAAGACAAAATTTTGGAGTCAGCCCCTCCAGCCTATATCAATGATAAGTGGAAATTGTAATATCTGACTTATGTCGGTATTGAACCCTCTACAGGTGTGGCGCCAGGCAGGGTATGCTTACTCTTCTAGACACCTGGTACTACTGTTCATTATGAAATACTTCCTCACTTATAATTGATATACTGCCTCATGTGAGCAGTTTTGTGCCAGACAGAGTATGCTTACTCTTCTAGACACCTGGTACCACTTTTCATTATGAAATACTTACTCATTTACTATTGATATACTTCCTCATGTGAGCAGTTTTGTGCCAGACAGGGTATGCTTACTCTTTTAGACACCTGATACCACTTTTCATTATGAAATACTTACTCACTTATAATTGATAAACTTCTTCATGTGAAAAGTTCATTAGCTGTTACCAATGTTGATTTGGGTTTAAGGTTTTGTTTTGCAGTTCGGACTGTTAGTGCTTGGTTTATTTATTTACTCTCAGGTTAGTGAGTAAGTGTTTAACCCTTTCAACCCTAGCGGCCAAACTCTAACGCAATATATACCTAAGCAGCCGGTATACCGGCCGTTACTAAGTGACATCATACAATGTTAACGTCATACACTTTTACTTTTATTACTTGGAGTTCAGGGTATATGACGTTATATTTCATTTACACTCAGGGTTCAAAGGGTTATTTCACTGAGCCGCTGTAGCTTACTAAACTTGGACTATTTACTAATAGATTACTCTATCCTATTTTACTAAAGCTTAGACAGACGTGACAACTTTACAGTAATTTCAGTCTTACCCTAAAGATGTCTTAGCAATGGACATGGGAGATCTTCCACCAGACGATGTCCGAGACGCGATACTCAGTCTGGAATCTTTCAATGATTTTGACATGTCGGACATCACTGATTCTGAATCACCCAGAGCACTGGATCGATCTAGACTAAGCTGATTACGTTCATCTTCTGATAACGGTCTCCGTAGATCATCGCTGGTCAGTTTCTCGAAGCCTCCTTTCTGCCAATGACCCACACTGCCATCTGGTGCATTGTACGTCAGCTCAAAGGTGATTGTTGTCTGCAAGGGAAAAAAACAAAATACAAATTGTCTAACTTAATTTATTTTCAAAACATCACGTCTTGTTTGAATCTTTGGTGATTCAAAATATCTGATCAAGATACTCGGCTTGGTCTTTGACGACATTTCTGATTTACAGTCGAGAGCTCAAGTTAGACATAACTTTTAACAGTAGCCAAGTCAGTTAAGAGCTCTAGTCAGACGTGACTGGTAAATATAAACAAATCAGCAATCTACAGCTCTAGTCAGACATGACTGGTAAATACAGTCAAATCAACAGTCTAGAGCTCTAGTCAGACATGACTGGTAAATACAGTCAAATCAACAGTCTAGAGCTCTATTCAGACATGACTGGTAAATACAGTCAAATCAACAGTCTAGAGCTCTAGTCAGATATGACTGGTAAATACAGTCAAATCAACAGTCTAGAGCTCTATTCAGACATGACTGGTAAATACAGTCAAATCAACAGTCTAGAGCTCTAGTCAGACATGATTGGTAAATACAACCAAATCAACAGCCATATAGCTGTAATCAGATGTGACTGGTAAATACAGTAATAACAACATCCCGGATTCCTAATACTGTAAATAAACCAATTTGAAATTTCTATCTTGTATGATATTCCATTACGAAACGATTATAGCAATCACAGATGAAGGATTAGAAAGCTAAGCCGAGAGGATAACAAAACATCGTTTTTACAAGATGAAATTTCGATTTCTGGCAATGACAGATAAGAACGTCTTTTGGCATTTAACAGAATAAAATGGCGCGCTGACATTTTTATAAGTTACGACAGGAATTGCGACATTCTTAATCTAAAATTACTGATAAAACTGAAGATAGCGAACCAGAGATTCTGTAGGATCAGAGAAAAATTATTCCTGATTAATTACATTGTCTGGGAACGGTTCTTCCTGCTTCACTGTACAAAGTCGTATCTTCAAAGGGGGTGGGGAATAGGAATATAGAATTCAACCTTTGATTCATAGAAACTGTATAAAAAAAGTCAACCTTCATTTCCAAATTCTATTTGCTGTACATTTTTACGACTGAACTTCTATTTCTTATGGTAAATTTGTCTTGTTTGAAGAAAATTCTGTGAATAATGATAATCTGTTACCATACCCCTTACTTCAGTGTATAACAAGAGTTTTTTTAAATGCAGTGATTTGATTAGATTATACACAGAGTTCTTGACAGAAAGACTAAAGAATGAGGCTACATGTGTATTCGGGGGGCTCTGATTGGCTGTATTTGCAAGTGTACTATCCAATCAAATACAAACTTCCATGATACAATAAAAGTGTCTAATGATGTTAAGATATTAGAAGCAGTTTGTAATAGCTTGAGATTGTGAAGATAAGACGCGTCAAGTCTTGTTTGTTAGAAGAGAAACAACCATTGTTAAGCCACTAAAATGATTTCAAGTTATTAGATAAACTGTGTAAAAGTTGACATTGTGAAGAAATACCAGGCCTACCTTCATGACAACATTGTTGGCATCCAGCAGCGAGTCTGATATTTTGACACTTCCAACTTCTATCAATTCTTGTAAAATCATTCGGAATGTTCCAATTAGTCTGAAATAAATGGAAATCATCAATTAATAGATTCATCAGTTGATATCTATGAATTTTCAAGAATTCCAAATTTGATGAAATCATCAAATGATCAACTTATTGTCCAGATTGATATCGATGGGTGTCGATTTCCAAATTGAGATCGATTATCGATGGCAGACTATCGATTAATATTTGAAATATTTTAAACATGGGTTTAAAGGCTCAAATTACAACAGTTAGCTGTGAACACTATTACTGATTAGCTTAGCAAAAAATTCCCGTTTCTGAGACTAAAGTATGATTGGTCAAAAAAATGGCTTATCTGACCCTTTAACATAAAAGTTTTGGCGAATCTTGAATCTGTCACTTTCATTCAGTCAATGTCTGGGAATCGAGTCTATAGAATTGTCTTTGATTTACCCAACACGTCCGTCTGTATTTGTCATTAGAAAGATTCCAATTAGACGCAACATGGTTGAAATTTACACAACCCCTGTCTTATTGACAGAACGTTAAATAACTCGTCTCCAACCGATTGAAAGATAAAGTTTGATGATTTGACATGAAAGAGGAGTTATTGGATTGATGACAAGGAACAGCAAAATTAGAAAGTCGTCTTGTTTAATCTTTTTCTTAAGACAAATACAAGAATCTCAAATGTCAAAGGGATTGTAAAGAGGTTTTGGAGATCTGATATTGTAGATTTCATCACTTTCTGAAGAATATATTTATTTATCACTTATGATTCTTTCTTCTGTATGTGTATTGGTGACACTGATAGCAGCAAGTTGCTATTCTAAATTTTCAATCAGACGTCTGTGGTTCCTGCAATTCCACTTAAACTAAGTGTTTGATGACGTCACTAATTGCAAAATAAGATTTATCACATAACACCTTTCGCATTTTGTGACATCATCAAACACTTAGTTTTAGTGGAATTGCAGGAACCACAGACATCTGATTGAAATTGGAATGGTGTAAATTGAAAAACATAAACTGTTCATGGTGAACAAATCATTAGTCCACATGTCTAGAAGGACTAGGCTATGTTTATACGTATATCAATCTTAAATAGCCTTCAGTCTTCTTCAAACTTGTCATTTGAGATTATTTTTAACTATTAACTATTTACAGAATGCCACAGATCAGAAGGATAAATTTTGTATCAAATTTGCTTAATTATGATAAAAAATAGTAGGTTCTAATTTTGGTAATATGGTGAAACCAGTATCTATTATTCCACTAAAACTTGGTGTTTGATGATGTCTCTAATTGCTTAAGGCCTGACATTAGTGATGTCATCAAACAAGTTCTAGTGGAATTGCAGGAACCACAGACATCTGATTGAAAATAGGAATGCTGTAAATTGATGCTATCTGTGTTATAAAATGTTTGAGTTATGAAGATTTTTCTTACCTATTGCTGAGATATTTATTATAATTATAAACTTGTATATCAATAATCTCTTCTGCTTCCACTGGTCTGGCCACCGGCCATTCAAATACCTGAAATACACAGACAAATATTAAATACTGGGGTAATATCAACTACAGGGGGAAAATATTTTAATGTATATAAACAAGAGAAAATCTTTAACGTGCACACCATCTAGCACACAGGGTCTCTGTTTATTGTCCCATCTGAACGACTAGACATGTCAATCCATGTCAATCTCTCCAGACTGCAGCATTGACAAGGTATTATCTTGACCTATGCAAGGATTGAACCCTGGTCCTTTATGTTAGCGAGCATGCCTCTAACTTGCTTAGCCATCACAGCTCCCTTGTGTCAGCTTTATTTCGAATACAAACTATAACTTGTCTAATACCTTGACTTCATTAGCTACCTTTCTTGTATCATGAAATTTTTTAAATGCAATGAATTGATTGGATTGTTAAATATAAATACAGCCAATCAGAGGTCTCAACAGAAAATCTGCAATCACTATAATAACAGTCTTTATGTTGAAGGCTCTGATTGGCTGTATTCACTAGCATACAATCCAATTAAATCACAGTCGAAGGGGAAAATATATGTATTTTTGGGGGTTCTATAACACAGTTGGTTAGATTGTGTTGGTCCTTCATGTAATTTGCTTGGTTACGATGATCAAATGGCGTGTAAAAGTCAGATGACTTTGAATAGTTCATCTTAAGTCATAATTCCAGTTCAATTCATAAGACTCAGCTGCAAATAAAGGGTATGGATAATCCAGGAAGATCAATTGTAAGAGGTTTGGTCAAGGACCTGCTGATAGACAAGATTTCGTAAATTTCGTAAATCTTGTAGTAATTCCAGGCGATCCAGTTGTGCAATGGTACAGACAATCCATGAAAGATCAATGCCATAGAGGTTTGGCCTAGGACCAGCTGATAGGCAAGATCTTTGAACTTAATTGTTATCTTTATGATCCTGTTTCTACCGTAGGGATTAGAAAAAGTTTCAATCTTGATCAAAAATGAGTTAAAAAACCAAAATGATTAAATTATAAAACTAGAAAAAACCAATAAGAATGTCAACACGCTAGTAATAATAGACAGGATTATTGTTAATTATTTCTTGCGTGTTAAATTTTCAACATTGTAGAAGCCGGGTAGACTACATTTACCTCAATCAATAAAAATCTGTACAAGCAAGATAATTCCGTTAATCAAAATCTCGTCAGAAGCATGGCAAAATCCAGAGTAAAAGTTGTATAGTAGTGGACTCCTCCAAAGAGCAGTACCATCAGGTGTTTCAAAAAGAGTAAGCATGGTCTGTGAAATCAATATATTCTGAAGTGCTAAGAACGTTTCATGAATATGCGGCCATGAATTCAGGTTCCAACAAATCAAATACAAAATCACGAGAAAAATCCAAAAATTCCAAAAATTAAACCCTAATTTAAATGTTTTTCCCACATGAAGGAAAATTCAGAGAAATCTAAGGCCTTATTCTCAAAATCATGTTTTTAGACAAATTTGTTATCTAATTTCAAATGGAAATGGTCCCTGGAGATACGTGTTTTCTTACCTCATCAAAAAGTGCTGTTTCATCGCTGTTTTCTACTATCTTTGTATAATGATGTACTCCTGAAATAGAGAAAAATTTGAATATTCAAATATAAGGTGTCAAAGGTCACAAACAGGAACATGCCTAATACTAATGTTTGATGAGGGGAAGCCCAGGGGTCTGGCCCTAAAAGCCTACAGATTTCAGATTACCTGAGGTGAATTTTCAGCATTTAGAGGGCGCATTTTCACTTCAAAATAAGAGCTATCTGAGCTGTCTGAGGTCTGAGGTCTGAGGGGGAAGAGGGCATGGCCCCATGGCTCATCCCCTGAATAACATTCATTATTTGAGTAACATGTTGAAGCAATGTAGCAGCTTTAGGTGATAAAAATAGATAATCTAATTATTCACTGAACCAACTGATAAAATATTATTTCAGATATCCCTATCTCTTTTCATAATAAAAAAACTGAATTTGAGTTCATCTACAATCAAATATTAATCAGACTACATCATTTATTCCGTTTGCCACATGATCAATTACGTTTACATACCAACAATGCTAATGAGACCAACTTTTAATTTTTAGGTTTATTTCTAAAATTTAAATTCAGTCTCAAAAACTATTCATGTGCCCTTAGCATAACCAAGATTATTATTAGATTATTATATTATAGATTACAGAGGAGCCCTGATAACAAACTTGTACAACCCCTCTACAACCATCAATACAATTTTATGGTATACTACTAACTCTAGGGAGTAACACAGTTTTATGGTATACTACTCTAAGGAGTAAAATATCATAAAATTGTGTTTGGTTATTTAATGTGATCTCTACCCCTAAATGTCGCTAAAGGATTATCAAAATCCTTATTTACATCACTGTCTTGACAACAGGGTCTACTCCAGCCTATATCATGTGATACATATAAACAATATGGCCCACCTCCAATATTACTCTTGTAGCAGATTGAGCAGATTTTCTCAGTGAAAATAGCCAAATACAGAAAAATTCTAAGAACTGATAAAAACCAGAAGTACCAGAGTACATTGATAACTTTCTGTTTTATTTTTATCTTCTAATTTAATTATTGACGCTATATTTTTAGCACGTAGCTGACAACTGAGAACTTTAACACGTCAACCTAGCTTTAATGATCGACGTGGCTTGTTTTATTTATACAGATATTTTTTTATCTCCTTGACAGAGTTTTTGTCAGAATTTCTGCGTGATAAACAACCAGTACTGAATATTTCACCTTTACCCTTTAAGGCCATTGTTCACCTTTTTGGGGTCTAGAATATATCTACATAATCTATACTATAAATGTATGAAAATTGCAATAATATGGCAGAGTCTCAAGAAAAGACGAGTCGATATTTAAATTTCAAACCCAAAAAATACTAGACACACTTGGTTTTGACGGCTCACATTTCATTGGTGAGATGTGAACATAAACTCTATTTCAAAGCGTTGGTGAACATATCTCTTTAAGCCAAATGAAATGGAAGGACAAGTCAAAAACTCCCACTGAAAGTGTAAAGATCAAAAGCCAAAACAACTCGTATCATGTTAGTTTACACCATATATTATTTATGATATCAGACTTCTGTATTGATTTTGGGTCCAGTCCAAATTTTTCTGTGTTTATCAATTTTCCAATGAATTTCCAACAATGTTGAATAATTCACAGAACCATAAACACATTCCGTCAACCTGGCAGACAATAGCCACTTGACATTCTTCCTAATGATCATCTTGTTAAATCAGCCGCGAAATTATCTAAACTCTACCGAATAATTAAAATTTGATGTAAACGATGTCGCAATGCAGATAAATAAGACCTTGATTTCACCTAAACTTATCAGAAACAATTGTAAACTATCAGATCATTTTGAAAATAAGTCGAAATCAACACCTTAATCCATGAAGTTATGAAAATTACATTTAAAGGGATTGTAGAGAGGTTTTCTATACTTTTTATGTGTATCAGGGATATAATAGCATCAATTTGCACCATACCACTTTTCAATCAGACGTCTGTGGATCCTGCCATTCTACTAAAACTAAGAGTTTTATGATGTAATTTTATGACATCACTTTTGTAAAATCTGAATAAATAAGGCCCGTTAAAACTCCACCTTTAGTTTATATTATCAGCACACTCTGTACTCTGATATTTTCAATTTCCACATTTTGGTGAAACAAGTAAAGAAAGGACTTGTGAATTATGTAAGAAATATCTCTGAGGACGTGAGTACTCGACAATTTCTGATATTGAAAAGAACAATTGTCATTGACTAAACTATTTATAGAATTCCACAAGGTTTTATTATTTCTACACAGACCATCATCTGGGTTTTGTACAAATTAATTTTGTCGTTGCTGTGAAGACCACTCAATGAATGAGTTCATTCAATCCAATCCAATGCCAGTTCTGTACGTTCTTGTTGAGTTTAATTTACACCAGGAAGACAGGAAGAATGAAGTGGTCAACAAACCAATTAACAGGGCTTAAATAATTATTTCTTGTGGACCCTCTTGGATTAAACTAAATACAAGTGGTTGCCTAGCAATTTACATCCACTTTCCTGATATATTTTCAGTATATGAAGGACGGTCACCAATCTGTGTCAAATTATACCAAAAATCTAATATGAGAAGATATTGTTGATTTAATCACAAGAAGAAGACTATTCACATGTATTCAAGATTCAAATCAGTCCAATTGGCGCAATTATCCCTTTAAGAGATGCAAAGTTTACAACCAAAACAACAGACAAACATTATTAGCTATGTGGACTCTCTAAAAGCAATGCCCAAAATTCTAACACCATAGTCATGTAGACTCTAAAATATGCAAAGTTAACAACCTAAAAAACATAAAAAACATAAACAACACTGTATAATGCAATATTCATAGTCTTCTTTGTTTTAATCAAATTTCTAACTCGCAACACGTCATGTTTAGTGATAAATATTTCAGATACGATTATATTCAACTATTCAACGCTTCATTACAACATGAATTTAAACCCTCTGTTGCCTAGCAACATGCATGACATCATGCACACTGGATACATCTCAAGTTATGTTACCTTTGAATTATTAATTCACCAATTTGGCTCACAAAGTAACACATAGTCTAATCAATTTAAATCAAGGGAAATAAAATAAAATAGATTTTGGAAACATTATTGGGCAAATGACATGGAGGTTTATATCCTATTTTCCACTTTTCATATGGTTACAACACAATAAGGTTTCTTGTAGAAACAAAATTATTTATCAATATTATACTGTTACACATTTGTTTAGAAAATCCCCATAAAACAGGGCCTAGTTTTTCTGACTCTACACCAGCCTACAACTGTCAAAATATCTATCAGAGGCTGAAATAGAAATGTTTGCTGTCCATATCCGAACGACTAGATGCTTTTTCCTTCCCCTCTTACCTGCATCACTGACAGGGGAAAATCAGGAAGAGGTTGGAACAGGGGCAGATATTTAGGACCAAATGAGTAAGTACATCAGAATGAAAAGTAGTATTAGATCTCTCGGCTACTTGATACTATTTTCTATTTATTTTTTGGGGAAATGTAAGCAATTTGATTTGAGAAAATGTTGCTGGAAGTCTGACAATATTTCACGTCCTCTCCATGTACCAACCGAGGCCATTGTCCTGTAAAATTGTCCTCATTGCACTCTGCATGGCATTGTCCATCTCCATTAGCCCACATGGTACAGAGAAGTAGGACGTAAAACTCCATTCATTTCATTTCGATGTACACTTATTATGCTATACCATGTGTTAGACCAGATGTGTGGTATATTATGACGTCCACGTCTGGTAAATATCCGCACGGCTGAATAACAATTACATTCAAGTCTCTCTAACCCTTGTCTAAGATCGTGACACCTTTCCAATTCCAGAGCCCGCTTTCTGTACAATGTCATCGAGACACAGTCATCCAGATCAATACTGTCACACATAATCATTGATTATCCAGTCACTTTAACCCTTATTAAAACCATCGTGTAAAATTACTGCAACCAAGTCGTTTCCCATCCCATCAATTGTAGAAACACCAATTAATCAAATAATCAATTAGTGTGCTTAATTTGACACTAAAAAATAAGGAAACCCATCTTTAAAAATGAAGTCTGGGTGTATCAATTGAACAAAAAGATCTTCAGTTTGGTGTCTTTCAAACGCGAGGTGTTTGCCTCCATTAAGCTACGGCCTTAGCAGAGTATTGGCTTTTTCAAATTACATAATTGAACACAAAAGACCTTTAGTCTAAAAATTGGTTGTTATTTAAAGAGTTTAAGTATTTGTTCTTATGTCTCCATAAATTCTATGGCCTGAGATGACTAGGAAAGGATTACAGAGAGAGAGAGAGAGAGAGAGAGAGGAATGTGCCATTTTTAATTTTTTTACCCAATTCTTTCATACTGATACTCAAAGATACAAATTAAAAACTATAGTGTTTTTGAATGGCTTTCTGTCAGTGGTGTATTAAGGGAGTAATAAGCACTTTAAATTTATCTCGGCCATCTGAAACTCTAGGCTTCTGGCAGCCCAAGGCCTGAAGCCTCCACAACTCCCCCAAACCCCCTTCCCCAGGCATTTTCTAGATATGCCCCGGCTTCCAGTGTCTTCCCATCTTATCTTATTACCTAGACAATTCACAATACTTTTCTTTAAAAACAAAACAATTCTTTCTTTATTATTAGATAAGTCATACTTTAAGTTTTTGTCTTGAAAACCTGCGTAATCTGAATAATTATATAAACAGTTTATCATTTCTTTCAAGTATATCATCAATCCATTAATCTTCCATTTCAATCAAAGTAAAAGAAAAGTAGAATAAAACCTGAATTTAAATAACGTCTTTAACTTCTTCAAATTCCAATATTTCATTCCATCCGTCTGCTCCAGAAAGGTTAATTTGTTTTCAGCCAAGATTTATGTATTTTTTGAGTAAATATTCCGATTTTAAATCAACGTAAATGGCTGTCGCATATTTAATATTCATGATTTCTGTTCCAATAGATTTTTATA